AATAGGGGAATTGTGCCTAAAATGACATACCAAAATTGAGATGTCGGAAAAATTTTTTTTATTCAGAGTTTAACGTGACAAACCAATACAAGTAACTTAAACAGGCATATATGAAACTTTTATGAGCAATACTTTGAAGAAAAAACACATAGTTAAGGGAAAAAAAAATACAAGTTAAAGTTCTACACTATGTCATTTTATCAACAAGTGCTTTGTTAAAATGACATACCTAAATTAGTAGCTATGTTAATGGCATAATTCACAAGTAAACATTTTTATTTTAAAAGATACTCCTGCACACTCAGTGTGGCTCCATTTTGAACAAGTTTGACATCGAATCCATTTATCCTTGGGCTTTGATAACGAATACAGCTCGTTGCAATAGATGCATGCTGCATCATCATCTTCATCGACAGACGGGTTAAAATATAAACCATTTCCATCATCATCACTGGTCTCCTCCAGCACAGAATCTTCAATTTTCTGGCTTTTGACCGTTTTGCTGCTTATCACAATTTTTCTTTTTGTTCCTGCCATTCTTTGTGATTTTCGAAATTCTCTAGCATCTTTTTCAATTTTCTTCCTTTTAGCTTCTTCTAAATAGGGTGTTGAAGTAAGTTCCTCTGCGGATTGTGTTTTTCTCTTGTTCTTGTTATACTGCAATGAAGCATTTACTGGTACAGGAGATATGTCTTCCAAACGAACAAGACATTCTGTGATATTTGGACCAATAGATTTATTAGGAGGGTTGTCGAGAATTTCATGTTCCACGGATTTTGAAGTAGTGGGTTCAGAGATTGTTGAAGCACAGCCAGCTGTTTTATCGAATCCAGTTGTAATCGTGGACGTACTAGGTATACAAACTGGGCCATCTTGAAGCCGTTCACCTGTAACTTCACTAGGAGCGAACATATCATCAGAAAATATATCAGGATTCCACGGTGAAATACCAGAATTTTTAAAACCATTAATGGCATTTGAAATAGTTGCGGCTTTTCCGTATGCTACTGAAAATAGTTTCGCAATCTGAAACGTTGTTACAACTCTCCCTGGATTGTTTTTTAGCCATTTTGATACTTCTTGGTTATAATATGTGCTTAATGGTCCAAAGAAGCAAATATCCAGCGGCTGAATTCGATGTGTGCAGTGGGGGGGTAGGCATAACAGAATCACGCCATTGGACTTAGCATACTCTAGAGAGGCCACATGCTTGTGACTGGCGTGACCATCTAGAATTAACAAAACTTTGTTTTCCGGCGAAGCATGTGAATGCTTTACAAAGTGCTTTATCCACTTTTCAAACAGCTCTCCCACCATCCAGCCTGATTCATGAATAAGTGGTAAAGATCCTGGGGGTGCCTCGTCAAATAATTCTGCTTTAAACTGTTTTCGGGCAAAAATGATTGCTGGAGGAATGAATGTGCCACTTGCACTCATACAGCAAACTACAGTTGTGTGGCTTCCTCTTTCAGCGCTTGTAAGCTGGCCAACCTGCTTTTTACCCCTTGTGGCGAAAATTTTCTGAGGTTTCTGAACCGATGAGAGACCGGATTCGTCCATGTTATACATGTTCATGGGTTCAATGTTATGTTGTTTTATAACATCACTTAAACATCTAAAAAACTTTCCAACTTGCTCTCTATTGAATCCAAAGGCTCGGGCGGCAGAAGTTGCTTCCGGAATTCTTAAGCTAACTTCAGGATTTCGTAATCGGAAACCTTTAAGCCAGTCCCACCCAGCCATTTTCGATTTTTTAGAAAATCGGTTTGGAATTTTATTAATGTGTGCATATTCATACACAATGCGTCTCAATTCAACAGTGGTTATGCCAAAAAACAAATTTTCCATTTTTTTGACGTATGCCACTATGTCCTTTTCCAAATTAACCGGAAAGGTTTGCTGAAATCGACCTAATCCCTTCTGAACGCCATGAACTTGTTTGTTTCGATTTTGAGCTCGACGTCGAAGGGTTGCTTGAGGCACATTAAATTGTTTGGAAGCTGCAAGCCAACCCATCTGTCCATTGGTCACAGCTTGTACTGCATTCTGCATTGACTGCACATCCCATGATTGTCGCTGTGTTGTTCTTTGGTATTTTCCAACCATCCTCTAAGTAACAATCGAATTTTTAAGTGCATAATATTTAACAGACGAAAAGAGATACGTCAGTCTAAAATGACATACCTATGTCATTTTAGCAACACGGGACTATGTCATTTTACCCTGAAAGTAACCTCCAATAAACAAAGCCTCGCATTTTTTTTAGTGTGCGTGTGCAGCTATACTTTGATTTACCAATACGAAGCACAGTAGTATACGAATACGCTACAAAAAGGTTTAATGAAATAAAACTACCTGCCTTTAGATTTTCCTTCTAGAAGTTCACCATCAACATTACACAAAAGTACCGGGAAACACATTTACCAACTGACAGACCGTAAATATGGTATCTAACTTCACATATTGCAGAATATGACAGGTATGTAACAAATCATGGTATAGATGGCGCCAGATACATAAAAGAACAAATATTTTTTGTTTTCCTGTGGTGTGTCATTTTAGACGTATATGTCATTTTAGGCACAATTCCCCTATATATGCAAGTTAGGCAGCTTAAAAGATGGCGCAAGTTTTGCACGTTGCAGCGCAGTTCACACGCGGAAATAACCAAGTTGCACAATTTTAAATAGGTATTGCGCAATAGAAAAGTGTACAAATGTGAAACTACCTATAAGGTCGTTTATTTTAACTTTTCTTTTCTTCAATTATCAAGTTTGTATTTACGCAATTCCGCTCCAAGGAATTATACCAATGTTAATTTTCTTAAATCTTCACTACCTTATTGATGCATGAGTGATTTGATTTTGGGTGGTGTTATAAATGTATTCTCTTTCGGAAATTGCAACCCGATAAGTAACGATCTTGGATCGGAATTTTGACTTCTCAAGCCATCGTCATTTCAATTACCGAGTGGATTAACTCGGGTTCGTTGTTTCTTTTCTTTGTTAAAATGCTTATGATATGATATGATATGATTCTATCATTCTATGGGTAACTTGTATTTTCATTATCGACGCCATTTTGTCATAATAATTCTACATTTCGGGATTTTTTTACAGCCGTAACTTTTTGGGAATTTAATTAATTTTAAATAAATCATTGTATTATCTTGTTACCGGAAATTGCGACTATTGTATTTTATCGCTTTCCTTCAATACTTTCCAGTTTCATACGAAGAAGCTTTAATCATTTAAATCAGGGTGGCGCTCAACTTTGTGGTAAGTGGCGAGGAAGGTTTTCCAGACCGAACTAACAACTGTGAAGTATCTCCTGCCCCGTTATCTTTTATCATGCCTCTGCTCTCTTAACTCACGTCACATAACACAAATTCTACTTGTTGTCCCACAATCGGCCCTCAAAGAAGCCTCTGAACCGTGCGAAAGTATTGGTACGACAGAAATTCAAGTTAAGCCACCCACATTCGATGGAAAAGAACCGTGGTCCATGGTCCCGGAAACAGTTTGAGGACGCTGTCGTTACAAACAAGTAAGACAGGGGAAGAGAAGGCAACTTTCCTGATTGTTGCGTGGACGTAGATGCGTTGGATATTTTACTCGCGTTCATACTGCAAAACATTCGTATAGAAGAAAAGAACGAATACTTATATAGAAAAAAAATGATGATGACTTGCCGGTGCTAAATGGTTTTCTACCTTAGCTATGAAAAGCTAAGTTGGTCTGGATCCTGAACTTCACGAGAAGACGGCCTTTAGCATAGGATCGGGTTTATTTCAATTTCCGGTCATGCATTTTGGTTTATGTAACGCCCCCGCGACGTTTGAGAGATTAATGGAACTGATTTTGGGGAGGTTTATCGTGGAAAACGTATTTGGGCGACGTAATTGCAATTCGTCGAACGTTCGAAGAACACCTTAAGAATCTCGAAGACGTGTTTATGAGGTTGCGCTGTGTTAACCTTCAACTTCATACAAAGAAGTGCAACCTTTGCCAAAAAACAGTGAAATATCTTGGTCATCTGGTTTCGGAGAATGGATCCCGACAAAGTTCATCCAAGAATGGCCCCAGATAAAGATAAACACGAAATACGAAGTTTCTTGGGCCTGTGCACGTACTACCGGCGATTTGTTAGTGGATTTGTCGATATTGCAAAGCCGTTCACTGAGTCAACAGAGGAACACCGAGATATCAAATGCGATGATGGATGTATGCGCGCTTTTGAAGATCTTGAACAAACTTTAGTTACGGCTCGTGTGGTCAGCTATCCTAGAAGAGAAGGGGAATTCGCGTTAGATACAGATGCTAGCAATGTTTTGGGTGCTGTACTGTCTCAAATCATTGAACTAATTTTTCACTCAACGCTCAAATGCAGGATGAGCACGAGAGAGTCTTCGGACATTCCAATAAAGTTTTTTCTAAACCGGAACGTAATTTACTGTGTCACTCCGAAGAGAACTACTAGCTGTCCGCAAGTCGATCGAACATTCCCATAAGTATGTATATGACCAGAAGGTTCTTGTAAGGACCGAGGTTTTCCTGTGACGAGTAGTGTTCATATATTATGTCGATTTGAAAACTTCGCAGTTAGAAAAATAAGACACATCTGTCCAAAGTACTCGACTGATAAAACTGTTAATTTCGAAATTCTTACGGATAAACCACCTACAAAATGTGACCTGGAACAATAATGCATCAATGGTAATACGTTGTGTGTGTACCGCGAAGTGTCTTGGAATGTGTTTAACTGGACAATGGCATGACATTTTTTCGGAGGGGACATTTTGTAGGTATGTAAGAATGGATAATAGCATAGTCAATAAGTGATGTCAAAATAAAAGTCCAAATGTTTCTGGACGTACATACTTATATAAAATTTTGGAGGTTGTTGAAACGCCCAAACCCCTCCTCCTATGAGTGCGCCCCGTATATTTTGAACATCTGATATAATTATTTTTATTGTTTTGTTGCCTCGAATAGATTTTGTTTCTTTCTTTAAAACTCATCACAGTCTACTTGATTAAAACCGTTGATTCAATCTTAAGCTATTGAAAAGAGAATTAAAAATGCTTGTAAGTAATCTAAAAATCCAATATTGTGCCTATTTAACTTTAGGAAGTTGGTAAATGTTCCTCAAAAGTAGCCATCTTGAATTTTTTTGAATGCTCTCGCGTAGGAATTTGCGCGTTCCACAAGGTTGCCGGCTCACTTCTACGTGATTGGTTGTAGGTTTGTGACGTATTTAGACTGAAGCGTTTCAAATTCGGACTAAAAACGCAGCCGTTCAATAATTTATTTTGGGTTTATTTTACTCGCAAATAAAAATTGAGGATACACGGGTCTTTTTATGTTTGATGTACTTTCTAGATCAGAAATGAAAAATGAATCCGGCATGCTGCCATTCTAAATTAAGCGTATCAAAAACAGTGACTTTTATATTACACTTTTTTTGTATCTCGTATACTTTCAAGACATTCAAGGAATTGACCGATTTTAGTTTTTTTGAAATTGCGTCCAACCTATTCGACATTTTAAACAAGCAACTTTTAAATAAGCGTCTAAAACTACAAAACGTTGGCCATTTAAGCAATTCTCTTTAATAATAAGAAAGTTACCCATGCAATCCTTCGCGATCTGGGACACGCTGTATATTAACAAATATTTATTAATAATCAAGACACACTGTATAATTTCTTCAAGTAGTTCGGATGACCACGACGACTTCGACGTATGAATGATGTAGTTCCACAATACACTTTTTGCGTAGTTCAAAATAAAAAATATTGACATGAAAATAAACGTCATAAATTTCCTATTAGATAAATTCCCAAAAGAGATTTACTTTCATTGCATGCTTTTTGTGAAGTGAGTCATCACAAAAGTATTCGTAATTAAACGTTATTCTGGTTGGTGCTATACATGATGTTACTCACACACTAAACAAAAACAGTCTTCCATTCCAATTACAAATAGTTAAGAAAAATGCATAAAACTAATTATGGAACCATATCTAGCAATTCGGACGATGCACAGTTTCAAGGTACTTCCAACTCCTCCGAATTCAATAGCCTTTGCGATAATATCGTTACAAATATTTACACAATTAATACGGGTTGGAAAACGCTTGAACAAGCGCTTAAAACTATAGGAACTAGTCGAGACAATCAGGGAGTTCGAGATAAAATGTAAGTGTAATCGCTGGGCCTTTACGACCACTATTTAATGATTAATTGCAGCCATGTTTCCCAACTTAGCACGAACCAAATTATATCGATCACACCAAAGGACTTAAACCGATTAAAGATGATAATAAAAAAGGGGGACAAGCAAAAAGAATTTCAAATTAATAAACTCGCCGATAACTTTACGGAAGCGATGGGCAAATATCATTCGATGCAAAAGGTAATGTACGAGGATGTACCTACAATGGTCACATTAGTTTTTTTGTACTCGAACAGGATGCTCTCTAAACCATTCCAAAGTTCTCAATTTTGAAAATGTATGATACCTCGCAAAAATATGGGATGCTGTATCATAAGATTCACTGAAAATTCGAACATCAGAGTTCGAGCACAAAAAAAATCTAGGTGTGGCCTGCCCCTTTATAATTTAGTGCTGGAAAATTTGTAACTACACTATAAACATTTTAGTTAGTCGCAAATAAAATGAAGGCGAACCTCCTGATGGTGCACAGTCCAGAAACCTCTTCTGTCGAAGAGGCCGGTAGCCAATCCGAACAACTTCAACTATCAAAACAGCTAGCGTTCGAGCAAGATCTACTAGTAGACCGAGAATCACGTATTAGACAAATTGAATCAGACGTATTAGACGTTAACCAAATTATGAGGGAATTAAGTGCGTTAGTTCACGAACAACGTGAGCATGTCGATACAATTGAGAACAGTATTGATCATGCAGTAGGTAACGTTGAGGAGGGTACCGAACAGTTACTTAAGGCCTCCAGATATAGCAGAAAGTACAGGATAAAATTGTGTATATTAGTTTTAATAGCAGTTGTTATTGTTTCAGCTTTAATAGGCATTATAGTTGCCTCGTTAAAGAAATAAAATTTTGTATGTGATGTATTTTACTAATTAATATGCCCATTATATTTATATTTCCGTACAGTTTTATGTATAAGCGCTTAGGCGGTATAGGCATCTTTTGTTTGTATTTTTGTGTCTAATTTCGAATTTCTATATTCTTTAATTGTAGGTACCTACCTAATTAGTAGACTTTTTATGTGGTAACATTTTTAAAGAGAATTGTAAATATTTTCTATTTTCAAATCATTGTTGAAAATCTATTATAACAATGATAGTTTACACCACTATGTAATTGATTTGTCTATAATTTGCAAATTGTTAAAAACGTGCTTTTTGCGTATGAAATATAGTTATTAAAATATAGAAAATGCCGTTTTTTACAACTTATTCAAAAATCAATATTCTCAACCTCAAGCAAATAATATGAGTGATGGTATTATTTAAACTCTGGTGCTATCTTAATTTAGTCCTTCAACTCCGGACTTGAGGCCTAGAGCATAGCATTATCCACTGAGAGGTTCCACCCTGTATATACAACTTACGACGATGCACACATTTTTGTGAGTTGGCAACCACGCAATTTTTAGGAGGGGAAAGCAATTTGCGCCATCTAGCAAGCACGAAAGGGGGTTACGTTTAGCCATATCACAGACAACATATACATATATGTTGTCTGTGGCCATATATATAAGCGTTTAGCATCCTGCATCATGTCTTGAATGGCGGTCGTGAACGCGTCGCTCCATAAATGTTTGTTGTTATTTTGTGTTATTTAATGCAGGTAGTAATTTTTGCATTTCTTTATATCGTATTTGTGTTTTGTATGCCACATATTTTATTTTCAATTTTTCTTTTTGAAATTTACTTGGTTTATAACCGCAATGCAGAATGACATGTTTAATACCGTTAGTGTTTGTAATTGTTTACGTTTTGGGTGTAATGTTGGCTTAATTTATGTTTATTGATGTTGATTACTTGGTCTTGTCCCTGAAATAACATTCATATAAATTTTCATTTTATTTTAATACTTATGTGGAAATTACCGATTCGTTTGATGTATGTACTGACTTGTTGTTTGTTACTAACAATTTTCTCCGTGAATGAAGCAATCACGGGGGTGGTAAAAAACTGTAGTCAAAATTGAGCTACGACACCTAATTCCGTGATTGTCTTCGACATTCAACTGTAGGCTCGAAACCCCGAAACCAGGGGCGGGTTACCTATATCTTGCAGCAGCGGGATTACGCTAATCAAAGCTCTTCAGTTTAGAATCTATGTGCGATAAATGAGTGGCGATTCAATAATTTCCGCATATCTTGTTTTTACACGAACTTATCTTAATTTATAAGTTCGTGTGTTTTTTGTTAAATGTGCCTACAAGGCCATGTAATTTTGCATCTTGCTTTATTGCACCAAAGATGAGTCACATCCTGTGTATTTCATTCTTTCTTATAGCGTTTTCAATTGGCAAAACTCGTGCTGCACGAGTGCAATTTTTACGTTCTATTGGTAATTTTAGGGCAATTTTCTGTGTTCCATTGGCAAATGTGATGCAACAATTACGCACTAAATGCAAATTTTGACGCACGAGGTCGGAGAGCTCGTGGAGCAAATTTTCAAAATAAAAGTGCGCCAATTTGAATTTGTTTCTTGCGTTGGAGAGTTTTTTGTTGTCATCTAGCGATAGCGAAGATGATGAACTAGCCATATAACTTCTACTTTACAAAAAGTTGCATTTACTCTTTAAAGTTCACGCCAAAAATTGGTTCTTTACAGGAATTTCAAATTTATATTCCTCATTGTTTATCATAAATAATAGTGAAATCGTTTCAGTCATTTTTTAGAATACAGATTTGTCGATTACCTAAATCATTGTATAAATACAAATCTAAAATGAGGTTATGGACAAATGACAGCAAATATTTACGAATATTTATGTTCCATTGAGAGCAATTTTCACATGGATTTCTTCAGTTTCTCGTGCAACACTCGTGCAGTACGAGTTTTGCCAATCGAAAACGCTATTAGAATCTTGGTGCCTGCTTACCTAACCCATAATTCCCAAAACTTGATTTTAACCTATATTATGTTACTTGATTACTACTTAAAGTTTACCTGCTACTTTTTGTGATGTTATAATTTTATGTTAAGCATTCACATCATTACAAGCAATTAATTTTACAACACAATTTGATATTAATTTGACGCTGGTTTTTTTATTGGTAAGTTCTTTTTTTTTCCCAGCCTATTTCTATTTTTATTCAGTGAACTATATCATTTTCAAAATTTATTTTTGCAATGTAATTTATTTTGACTTCAATTTTCGAGCTTATACAATCATAATAATCACGATAATTATTAAACAAACTTTCTACAATTTCAGTGTTTTATTTTACGTTCCTTCCCTACTGTGCTTCAGGTCAAAGCGTTGTTTACAACTAACGTAAGGGGGCCTTGCCTTAGATCTTTTATCACTTGCCACTTTTCAAATTTAAGCGGGATCTTACTTCATCTCACGTGTGGGATGGCTTGAGTGACGTTGAGGGGTCGGGCAACCCTAGTCAGGGAGGTAGTACAAAGGGCCCGAATTTGAGGCCTAAGTACGCGTGGGCCCTGTTCACCCTCTTATCGTAATCCAAAATCTGTGCAAGAGCAATAATCAAATACTGATTTGATAAGCTGATTTTTTAGCGTTTTCATAATTATGGAGATAATTATTCATATTCAAATCATCTTTTCTTAATACAGTTTGCCGTACTATTAAGCAACCTCAACATAAGATTCAAACATTTTTTGATCAATTAAACATATAGTAAAGCCAATCTGGAGACACACACTGTATATACCTAGGTATATATCCCTCACAAGGGACATAGTGTATGCGGAGGTTGTTTCTTACTTCCTCTCTATAGCTACTGATGGCGCTGTAGCTTAAACAGGCCAAGCGTTATAAGTACTTTGTTTAATTTTGCCTGACGTGTTTTGGGGTAAAAGGTCGCATATATACTTACCTACTTTATGACTGGATTGACCACCATATGTGTATATTCAGTCCCCTCCTCACGCCTTCGATCTTTAGACCTCCCAAAACTACGCCCATTCATTGAGCGTCAGGCTCTGTTCTACGAATAGAATTCATTTCTTTTACCAGTTCATATCCCCAGAAAACCCATTTACCCGGAACCTCTACGTGCCAGCTCCCATGTCCCGAATAACAGCACCGGATTTGAATCAGCAGGAGGATCACATACATCCCATTAATTTTGCTTTACTCGCAACGTCCTGGTAATATACCCAATTAGAAAAGTGAGCCCGTATCCAAAACAATTACCCTGCACAAACTTGCACAACAAAATTTTGAAGAAACTTGCGCTCTTAATGTGATCACTCTGTTTATTTCGTCACAATCAATCAAAAAATTCTCAAATATTTAATTTCGTAGCGCCGTAGCGGGCTCCCGTTACACAATATACAAGGCCGCTCCTTTGTTTCGGCACTTTTAAATCGGAGAGCAACCATCCCCTCTTCAAGATTATCAATTCTGCTTAAGATCCAGATCCTAATACGCCTTGTCTCGTCTTAGGTTAGCGTACCCTCCGGATCTTGATAAATAAATACCATGTCACGTCTGGTGGGGACTTCGCCCCCTAGAGACTGATGGTATTACACGTACTAAACTTTACAGCGAGGTCATCTTAAATAATTTCCAAACTTAAAAGATCGAAGTATAATATAATACTCACTTAGGCATAGATGTTGATGTTGGAACTAACTATTAAACACGCTTCAATTTGCGTATATAACAAACGGTAAGTTTCTTGAAAAATCACCAGCATTCTCCAAAATTCTAGAAGGAGTTTCAAAGAAAGAATGCGTCGCCTATGCATTCCTTATCGTCGCGGCGATTAATATTTTTTCGACTTCATGGCACCTGCTGGCGCCCCGATGTCTGGGATACTCGCTATAATATTCTTAGATTCTTGAACCAAATTGTAACAAAGGCCTTCTTTTTTTCTATAAGGACTCACCCCCACCGCCTTCAGAGGCTTCAGCAGGAATCAATTGTATTTGCTACCTCGCCAATTTTCATTATCACTTGATTAATTATTCTAAAAAGCAAGATAGCCAGAGTAAGCAGTTATTACGGTTTTCCTTTCCCTTGTACATTTGTTTGATACATATTTATTCTAGATAATATCAAAAGTATATATAGACATTGAACGAAATATTTAAAAAAATTCTGTTTCGAGACATTGCATTACAATTAATTAGCTGTGCATTTTTTAAAAGCCCATAAATGCAACTTGAGAACTGCATTTCTTTTAGTTTTTTTTCTATTTCTGCTGGTTTCCGGGATCCCCATGCGGATCATCGTACTCGTACTACTACCAGTAGAATTATTTTCAAATAAATCGATAATTTGCGCCGTACTGGTTCATCATTGGTATAATAACCTAATAAATTATAGAATCTAGAATTAAACAAAGTGTTCATTTGTTTGCCCCTCAAATAGGCAGTATAGTAATATATGTATAACCCTCCCAGGAAAGATTGCCGGTCACAGCACACCTTGTGTCGATTTACAATCTATGTTTTTCTTAAGATGCGAGTGACTTCCGGAATAGGATCGTGCCATTGTTGAACGAAAAGTCTTTTTGTTCACCATTGACACGATACGACCCCGGAAGTCGCTCACACGTTTCGAAAAACATAGATTGTAGATCGAGATCAAGTGTTCTCTGACCGGCAATCTTTCCTGGCGAGAGGTTTAGTAATATATGTGCTTACCTATCTAGAATAATGATCCATTTTTGAGCAAATAGGTAGCGGTAAGATAAGAAATTGTGATAATAGTAAAGTACCTATGTGACAATTCATATACCTACCTATATGTATAGTAGGTACATAGACGTGTATGCCTACCTATGTAATTTTATTCAGAAATCTCAACTTTTAATGGCTAAAAAGATCAAGTTCTAAGTCTCGGTGACTTTTTCAATGAAAGCTCTTTTTTTCCCTAATAGTGGGTATAACTTTTTGTTTCTCTCCGTTTAAGTGCATAAAAGTATGTAAATTTGTTTATTTCATCTATATCTGTAGGTATTATCATCGTAAGATCTTTCCACCAAGCTATTGTCACAGTTTAAATTAGAGGATATATGTTGTTCAAAGGAGCGAACAATGGGTATACCTACTATCTCAATTAAGCAGAGGAGGAAACGTACTATAAATTAACTTCCTTTCAATTTTTAACCATCATTGTATTTGATCATTATCGGGTAACACCCAGAAAACTGTGAAAACTTTCTCTGTCAATCAAAAGTACCTATCTTTACTATCTCATTTTATCATTTGATTAAAATTCACTTGAACGGATGAATTAACTTAATAATAGATGTACTTCGGACAATTACTCAATTTATATACATTAAAAGATAACAAATTACACAGTAGAGTGCGAGACTGACATGATGAATGGTCCGCAAGTGCTGAAGCCGGGCGAAAGAATAACAGTCGTCGTTACTATTGGAGAAATATACGAAATTTTGAAAAATCTTTATGGCATCGTGCCAAAATCCTTGATCGAACTAAACGGATACGATGACAAGAATTATAAGGTCGTAGTGCATAATCCCAACAGCAATAATGACGATCAGTACGTTCTGAAATTGATGAACTCGTGGGATTCGCAAAATGTAGCACTTGTTGAAGGGCAAAATAGTATCATGCTGTTTTTGAGTAAGTTCATTTCAACTCTAAAATGAAACGCCCATTCCCCATTCGTAGATTCTAATGGAATCACCTGTCCGAAGCCGGTAATGAACGTTAATGGCAAATATTACTCGATTGAAAGGTTTATTAGCGGAAAACACTGCGTCCGTCTGCTTGAGTACGTTCCCGGAAATATACTCAAAGAGATTAGCCCTGGCCCCGCGTTATACTATCAAATTGGTGTATACGTGGCGGAATTAGATTGCCTACTCAAAGTAGTAACAGATATATGGATGCATTTGAAACAATTACGTACTGTTGTAGGATTTTTACCATCCCGCATACGACTCCCATAAACTAATTTGGATGTTGGATAGCATTCCGAATGTAAAAGAATTTTTGATCGCAATTGAAGACGATGAAAAAGGAAAAATTATAAACTCGATTTTGAACGAATTTGAAAACCGGGTGTTAAGCGTTAGTAACACTTTGGAAAAAGGAATGATTCATGGTGACATTAACGAACAGAACATTATAGTGCAAAGTACCGACGACAAATGGGAGTTAAAGGGTCTAATAGATTTTGGAGATTGCAATCGCTCTTGTTATCTCTTTGAATTGGCCATTACAATTACGTACATGCTGATCCTCAGCAAAGATCTTGATGTTGCTGGGTATGTTTTTGCCGGCTATAATTCCGTACGTAACGTTACAAATGAAGAATATTCATTATTAAAAGTAAGTTGTTGGTGTTTGCACTTTTACAAAAAGGCTTTATTTTAGATATGCATCATGTCGCGGTTATGTCAGAGTTATACCATTGGAGTGTACAGTTACTTACAACATCCAAATAATACTTATGTTTTAAGTAGTGTTGCAGATGGGTGGGAGATACTGACGAGACTCAGAGAGGAGTCGGAAAAAGATACTCTGAGCAAGTGGAAATTAATTGCAGATAACTATGAGCACGTGGTCGAACCTTCGAGGGCTTCTTAATTTGACCGCCAGTGTTACTCATAAATCTATACCAAACAGTATGACACAGCAACTATGCAAGCAAAGAAGTAATTTAAAAAAACTTACCCATACTCAACCTTTTTCGTCACACAGGCCTGTACAATCTGCTTTCAGGGCGAATAATTCTGATTTTTTAGTATTTTTTGACCCTTTTAAGTTTATGTCAACAAGGATAGCGGGGCTTTTTGTACCCTAAATTTATGCTCATGCGATTGAGCATTTTCTGAATATAAGTTTAGATTATCTATTTTGCGGTAATTAATTCCTTTTTACCTATTATTACCCATCATCAGTTTATATTAACAATTCAAAATCACAGAAGTGAGGTTTAGGTAGGTACACACGTTATACAGTGATATTCATGTAGAAGTAGACATAGGGATTTATACTATAGGAATTTCGTATGTCTACTTTCACATGATAGTCTCCTGAACTGAAAGACGCCTAATTTTATGCAACCAAAATAACTTCTTGAAAAAATAAAGATCTGGCTTTAATTTGAATATTGTTGCTTTAGCCTTTGAATATAAAATTAAATTTAATTTTATATTCAAAGCTTTAGCTTCACAGAAAGCTCCTTTAACTGTTATCGGCACTATACCAATTGGAAATATCAACCTTTTCTTTAGTTGAATACACCACACACGAACCGAAATTAGAATAGGGAAGTCAAAGCGATAATATTTAATTATGACAGGCAGAGCCTCATTATTTTGTTGTAGGTTACTTTGGTTGCATAAAATTAGGCGACTTTCAGGAGACTTTATCGTGTAAAAGTAGACAGGAAATCCCTGTCTACTTCTACATGAATGTCACTGTATAATGAAATATCTATAGGGTAGGTAAGCAAAAAATCTCGGAACGGTCAATAGGCAGGTTCGACATTTTTTATTTTATCTGAAATCGAGAGATTTTGTTATTAAAAAAGGATCAAACAAATTTGGGTGTAAAATATTGATATTTTACGTCTGCTCATTGTATTTATAAATAGAATGGTCCGCTGTAAGCACTTTAAAGGTTGATGGAGAAACTGCGTGTCTAAATTTCAGGCGACAGTGTTGCCAAGTAGTAAATGACAGAAATCTGAGAATGGCCGCCTGGAAGTCACCAGAAGTCACTAGGTGGTGGAACAGGAAAGAAAGAAAGATAACGAAATTTTTTTGGTGATTTTTTTCTCCAAAATCTAGTGATTTCTAGTAACTTTTCACAACAAAACCACCAATTTTATTATTAAATAAGTATGCAACCAAACGTTCAACAAATTCCCTAAAATCACATCATTAGGTTTAGGGGAATTTTTCGAAAGGAAGAAAATTTCCCTTATGTGACGGTGTTGTGCGTCCGTTTGTTCCTCGTATAACTCGAGAACGAAAAGAGACAGCGATGTCAAACCTTTACCAATCGATTTCTACAAGTTCAAGGCTATTGAATATGAGCCGAATTAAAAGTCGCGTTTCCGAAAGCGAGCTGCCAAAAAATTCCCCTACTGAAAATCCTATGCGATTCTTCGTATCTTGTTTCTTTCATAACATAATAGGACTATTTACCTACTTCAGGAAATAGGACTTTTTAAATAAATGAATACACACTTTTATTGAAAAAACGCGAACATTTCGAAAATTCACAAATTTATATATAATAGCATTGCGGTTTTTCTTGAAATCACCAGATAGTCTTCACATGTATGTTGAAAATCACTAGGTTTTAGACATGTCTGAATCGTGATGAAAAAGTCTGAAATTGATCTTGAAATTCACCAGATCTAGTGACAAAATCACCAAATTGGCAACACTGTCAGGCGAAGCAGTGAACCGAATTTGTTGAAATTTTTAGTGTAGGAAACTACACAAAATGAACAATTTTGAAAAAAAAATTTCAATTGGTTTGGGAATTACAGTAAAAAAACTAAACTCTTTTTATACAAGCTTAAAATAATGGAAAAACAGTTGGACGAAATTTACTTGTTATAATGTTTGTTTTCTCTGTTACACAATTTTAAATATTTCGTTTAATAAATTAAAAAATAATTATATTATATACAGGGTGGTGACTTGCGTCGCGCATCATAGGGATTTCAATGTAAAATTCATAACATGCCATTATTGGCTCCCCAAATTATTTTAGAGCAAAAATGTATTAAGGTTTTTTATAGACAAAAATTTTTTACGTCAATCAACCGCGTTAGTTTCCAATTTTTTACATAATGAAGACAGAAAATTGTAAAAATAAAACCTGCATCTTTTTCAATAACCTGTGATGCCATGGAATTTTATAATACAAAAACTACAATATCCGTCATGCCATGGAATGTCTGCTATAAAACAAATCAAATTCTATCAAAAAGTATTATATTTAGAACAGCGAATTCAACATAAAGAAAGACCAAATTACTAAAAACGGTTTGCTAATACAACAATTGACAGTAAATGTTCGAATAAGTCACCATTAACTGCAAGACAGTAACCAAGTCGATCATAAAATCCAGCTGCTAATTGACAACTTGACATCTTTTTGTTTTAGAAAATTTCATGGCATCGCAGATTATTCAAAAAGATGCGGGTTTTATTTTCTCAATTTTCCGTCTTTACTATGTAAAAAATTGAAAACTAATACGGTTTATTGACGTAAAAAATTTTTTTCTACAAAAAACCTTCATACATTTTTGCTCTAAAATAATTTGGGGAGCCAATAATCGCATGTTATGAATTTTACATTGAAATCCCTATGATGCGTGACGCAAGTCACCACCCTGTATATATTATATATATATTAATTTGATTTTTACAGGGTCCTACAACAGTACGTGGGTCTTTCATAGCTCATTCCTGGTTAAAAAATATCAAAAAACCTTTTGTGCAAATGACAACCATAGATCATTGGTGTCTCATTTTTAAGGTGTCAATAGACAACTGCTTTTTCTAATGGAACAGCAAATCATAAATTTATCGCACTTTCTTACTGCGTGGCACTCTTTGGTTTTTTATTATCACGGCTTAATTAATTAATCTAATGTAAATTTTTGTAAAAAATATTGAAGAACCTAAAAAATACGGGATTTTGGCACAGGACACCCCTTATAAAAATTTTTTTGTGAACACCCTGTGTCACTAAATCACTAAAAACTTTCTCATTATCAGTGTTCCCTTTTATTCAGATTCACATTATTGATCAAATGTATTTCTTAACTTTAAAATCAAGGTCGCTACGATTTATCAAAGTGGGAGTGGCATTTAGAGAATTATTCGGAAAAAAATTAATAATTTGGCAACATTGACAAAAAACCAAATAGTGAAGGGGTATACTTTCCATGCAGAAGTTAAAAAACGACATCGAATATACAGCGTGTTCCATTTTGTGGATATTGTCCCCGGCCTGCTATGCCTAAGCGGGCTAATTAACCATCTTTCTCATATATCAAATTATATGGGCCATTTTTTACTTTTTGCAGTATTTTTAAATCTAAAACCTTTCCGATTCTCTATCGTGAGATAAGGGTAGGTACAATCGAAACTTTCTGAAGAAAGTGTATTTGTCTGATGCTCTCGTTAAGTTGGCCACAATTTTTCGGAACCGGATTTTTTGATAATCGCAGGAGAAAACAATTTTTTATATAATGAGCTACATTGAGAGTAGGTACCTACCTACCTAAGGATGAATTTTTGACTGTGTCTCAAATTGTATCATTAACTTGAAACTATAACTTAGTCAAAATTTCACAAATTTACTACCGGAACACAAACTCCTTGAAAAATTCGCAATTCTGTATTTTGGCAAACCAGATTATAACTGGCAGAACTTTGCTTCTACCTGGCCTCATTATGTTTGTGACAACTCTTGCCCTTACCAGAATCGTCTAGAACCTGTTAAATACTTTTAAGAGTATTGTAAATGCTTCCCATAACATTGAAAGGTTTTTCCAAAAATAGAAACAGGTTAGATCTTTGCCAAATCCTTTTTTTTATACCTACTTTTATAACCTTGAACTTTTCAGTGCCTTTCCCAAAGTGCTCTAACGCCCCAATTAGCCAGCAGTTTTTATATTTAAACCATAAAATTTTGTATATTACATGTACTTGTAGGGCAGAACATCACTAACTATGGAGCTGAACGGGATATAATCAAAAGCAGTTAAAAAGGTTAGCAAAAATGTGTGAAATAATTTATTGTAGTAAAAGCTATGAATGCAACTTATGAACAGTAAAAAACTCAAAATTGGTTAATACATTGATGAGTAGGTAATACAGGCAAACTAAATTTACATTTGACGACTATCACTCGGAGAACGAACATCGTCAATCTTTAGTATCATTTTGACAAGTTGAGTTGCTAAAATAAACTGTTGACGTTTCGATTTGAGAGATTCAATAACATGCTGCTCCTTCATGTTAATGTTTCCAGTCTGCATACAATCAATACCAAGGTTGGAATTACCAGTACTTGCTTGTTTGGCCTAAAAATAAAAGTGAAAAAAACAAGTTTTAATAACATTTCTGTCCAATTTACCTTTACTTCAGACAGAGCGTGAATGGCAGATAAACCGCTATTCTCTGCAAGTGCCAATGGAATACATTCTAGTGCTTCCGCAAAAGCTCTAAACGCATACTGTTCCAAAGTAGCCAACTGATCTGCGTGAGCGGCGACTTTCAAACTGCAAGCAATTTCAGCCGCTCCACCGCCATAAACCACTCTAGGTTCCTATAACAAACATTAGTACCACTCACTTGTTAGCAAACTTTGAATCAGTACCTGCACCAAACTTCTCACAATACACAAAGCATCGTGCAAACTCCTTTTAGCCTCTGCAACAAGCATCGCATTTCCGCCCCGAACTAATATAGTAACCGCGCGAGACTTTAAACAATCTTCGATGACTAACATACGATCCTTTGTGGTCCCAAAACTGAGCTCGCGAACAATGCCAGCCGATCCAAGTTTCTCTGTGCTTAGCTCTTCAAAACGAGGAACAATTCGACCACCAGTTGCTATAGCGATTAATTCTATTTCTGGCCCGCCAACCTAAAATTGTAAAAATGACACTTAGAATTCAAATAACATCCTCGATAACATCACATAGCTGCGAATGTAAATACAGTAGACTCTCGTTAATACGAACTAAAAAAATTCCAGAGGGTTCATGTTTTCGAGATTGTTCACACAAGGCATATAAAAAAAGGCGATCATAAATGAGCGGCGGTCGCAACGCCTTTGGAAGTTTAAGTTAAGTACGTACTACTTTTTGACATAAAATTGATAGTTCTATCTTAGAAAGATGGTGACTGTAAGCCATTTTGATTTTTCTTTCTAAATGGAGGGGAGAGTCATGTGATTTGATGATCTTTTATCCGCAATTCAGTCCCGAGTTTCTAGTCTCCACTGCCATCCCAGCTACGATGGCGCTTCGTCAAAATTTATTGTCTCTAAAATTGACAAATGTAGACTGTGGGAGATGAACTGCGATACAATCGATCAAATCGATGTCTTAAACAATTTTCAATTTAGGGACGAGGGAGGAGAGCATGGCTGCAATTATAAGTACAGACATTCTATGATCTCAGTTATGTAGATGTTCTAATTAAATCTGGTACTATTGGTAACTTTCTTGTTATTGGAGCTATCAAGTCGGTTAAGTTACCATGCATTTTTTTTCAGGATGCAATGGTGAAATCAGAGAAACAATTCAGTTTCGCATTATTGCGATATTCAAAAAAAAAAATTTTAATGGAACATGCAGTATATTTTTACATATTTTGAAAGAAAATGAAAAACGGAATAATATTTACTATTTCAATAAAGCATTGACATTTCTTAGTGTATGTAAGAACTGTTCAAAAAATGTTTACACCGAGTTCCGAAATTCATAACAAATTTTGTAGTTTATTTGTTTATATTTTATTTTTGAATTTTGGAATAGTTGGGTATTATTACAAATTATATTACAGTTTAAATTACAGGACGCAAGAAGTTTTTGTTTACCAAACAATATTAATTTAGATTTATCTGCATTTAGCAATAAATTGTGTTTAGACGAAAGCAGACATAGATGAGCAAGATCACTATTAATGCTCTCACAGGCCAATATTTGTTCAGCATAGCTAAAAGATTTGAAAAGTTGATTCTCATCCGCGTAAGCCTGCAATTTGCAGAAGTTACACGCACATACAATGTCCGCGGTGTACATAGTAAATAGAAGCGGGCCTATAATTGACCCTTAAGGCACTCCAGACAAGATGACCTACCAGATAATTTATTATTACATTTCACCATGAGTTGTCTGTCTGTAAGGAGTATTCCATAATATCTAAGTTTAGCGCAGATTAACTTATGATTAATGGCATCAAAAGCCTTTGAATAATCGAACAAAACCAGTGCAGTAATTTGATCTCTATCTGTAGCAGTTTATATCATCAGTTAACATCGTTAGGGCATTTACCGAGTTAATACCTTTCCGAAATTCATATTGGTTCGGTGGCAGAACATTATTAGTGTCAAAAAAACAATATAACTACTTCTGAAGGATTCTCTCAAAGACCTTTACTCGGTAATATACTAATAATACGCAGGTCCGATAGACAATTAGGCTTTGACACTTTATATAGAGGAATTCCTATCGCTTTTTTCCAATCTCCAGGAAAATATTTAGTTTCAATGCAGCAGTTGATGATATGTGTTATGTATTTATCTACGTATGGGCTACAGTATACCGTGGGCTGTCTGCCAAAACGGTATTTTCTTAATTGACTGATAATAATGCATCATTTAACAATTTTCGAGCTTTGTGCGAAATGGGTTAGTCATTAGTAAGCTTATTTTTTTCTCTTTCTTACTACCTACCTTAAATATATAATTAGAAAATAATAGAGAAAAATTTTAAAAACCGTAACATATGCTTAGGTAAGAAAGAACAAAAAAATAAGCTTTATAATGACATATCACATGACCCTCAACATGACCTATGTTGCTGTTTAAAAAAATTCAAGGTGGCGGCGGTTGCACCCAAAAATCATGTTAACAAAATTTTTTTAACCTCAAAATATGTGAAATAATTTCAAATGGAAGCATTCTCATTTTCATGTCTATATGTCAAACGGATTGAACGCGAGAGCTTGGCTCCATCTTTAATAGCGACCCTGTGTAAATACAAATATTTGTAGGTAACATTTCAACGGCAGAAATAAGTTACAACTAAAATGGTTTACAACCTCGAGACCACAATTACATTATAAATACCTACCTTCTTTACCTTTGTAACGTAGATCAAGTTGCTTTAAAATAACCTAAACCACATGTCTAAAAATGATTACAAATTTCAATGTAAATTGGGTCATCTACAAGGACAAATTTTCCTGTGTGACGAGGTATTTGTAATAAAACTCACCCAACGAACTGCCGGTAACTTCTGTTGCAGCAAAAGATGATTGGCTTCATCGTCGAAACCCCACTGGCAAATTGCCAAGGTCGCACCCGCTTTCTTAACACGATCAACCATTTCAATAAACTTATCTTGTTCGTATTGACGAAGAGCTTTATAATCCTCCACGCTGGTAACGTCCAACTTATGCTTGGTTTTCGGCTTTGGGGGTTCAAATGGGCAGGTAAGAATTGCGAGTTTAACGTCATGCAACTCTTTAGGCATCTGCGAGTGCGACATAGTTTTATCGATGACCACGCCTTTTACTAGTACGGTATCCTCTAATCGTCCACCGACCTTTCCTTCCACTTTAATTAGTTCGAAATTTACATCCCTGGTTTCCAAGTTGGCAACTGCTAATACTGCTTGTACCGCAATGGTGGCCATTAGCCGGTGACATTTGTTAACGATCTTCGATCCTAAGGTAGTCATTGCGACCTGAATTAAAGGCTCGATATTATCGGATGAAACTGGGAAGAGATCTGCAATCGTATCTAAGTGCTCCACAGCTTTCTGGCAGGCCAACTCAAAACCATCCGCTATCCTAATCGGATGGATACCACGATCTAACAATGCACTTGCTTGCTCTAGAAGGGCTCCGGCAAGTACGACCACACCAGTTGTGCCATCACCTAAAAATCACAATCTAATAATAGTAGTAATACCAGTCATATATACATACCGATTTCGTCATCTTGAGACTGAGACAATTGAACCAACAACTTCCCAATTTCGTGGTCCACGTCCATATTTTTAAGAATCGTTGCACCATCATTTGTAACAGTCACTTCCCCATCGGGCGATACTAACATTTTATCTAAACCCTTCGGACCTAACGATGTTCGTAGTATTCCGGCAATTTGTTGAGCCGCCAAGATATGAGACTAAAAATTTGTTTGTTCATTTTTCGTAATATGTCAAGGAAAATGATTATAACATAAAGCGATAATAATACATGATCATTCAAAAACCAGCAGGTCCTCTCCAATTTCTATTTAAGGTAAATCCTAACCTACCTTTAGCGCATCGCTACCAGTTAACCTTTTTTGCTTATCTTCATCCCTAATGATAATAAATGGACGCCCGAACTCGTCAAAGGCGATACTTCCTGGAAAAGCCGTCATTTTATAACGACTTGTGCTGTTTCAAAAGATGATGAAGGATTTCTTTAGCAACCGGGAAATAAAGAAATAAACATTTGCATTTATGTGTGACACTTGCTTACTACGCATGCGTAAATGCATTTTTTGTTTCTACGCGAATTAAACTACAGGGCCGGACCTCTTAGAATAGCTGTAGCACTTCGAAATTTAGATAGGCAGGCAACACACAACACTTATTATAAGGTGACCATCGTAAACAACGCTTGAACCTTTCTATATAAAATATAGGAAAGAATAACGTAACGTATTAAGGCCAGTCAATCGGGAAGATAATTATCCCATGTTGCTGTATATTCAAGATTTTATTAAAGACTTAACAATTCAGAATATTTCATTATATAATTACCCTAACATAAACCAAAGAGTAACGTTATATACTCTTTGCATAAGCAGAATAGCTATTGATCTTTTTCAACTGTTGTTGGTATTGAGAAGTCGATGTTTGATTTGGTAGAACATCAATTTTAATTATTTAATTGTTATGGCGTTCAATGCTACGTCCGGAGTCTAATTTTACTATTAGTCTAGGTGATGAGGTCCTAAAATGAGATAAAGTTCGTACTTTGAAGTAACCAGAGAAACCTATGGAAATTGACAGTGCCCTTTGGCTCTTCCTCTTACAGTTGTAAGGCGACACGTTTATTTGCCCCTGGCGCCCCCGTTAGGTTCTTAGGTGGGGGGGGGGCATATAAGTAGGGGTTGTCTATCCATTCAAGCGCCAACTTAGCGACAAAAGTAAATAATTAGATCACATAAAGTTTTTACAGCACTCATGAGTAAAATCTGAGCCTTTTCAATGCGGATGGTTTACCCTCTCGGATGCTGCTAAGCAACTACGTCATTTTACGTTTTATATGACTGGACTATCTAGCCTGTCGCCATGCGCAAAATAGACAAATTAGGGCCAATTAGGGATTAAATTAAAGGGGGAAGGGGCCAAGGGGGGCAATTAACCTCGGGAGATATTAATCCCCGCCTCCATCCCACACAAAATCCAGTTTCTGACTAGTTGCCGACCTCTAAGTCTTTGATCTGTTGCAACTATGCAACCGATTCTATATCTTTCTTTGGGGAGAGGAGGGACCAGGTCATAATAAGTAGGAGAAAACTGCCTTTCACGCTGGGAACCGGTGTCAAGGCGACGTAGTGAAAGCATTTTCATCCTTAATTACTACAAATTAGGTATAAAAATTTGCAAACATCGCAAAATTCTGGGGTATTTCTCTTCAGATTATTCTCTGTTCATGGTAATAACAATACATTCTGCATGTATATTAGTAACTTCTTCATTGATAAGAACATCCATTGTTGGGAAGTTAAGTACATTACAAAGATTTGTGACCATTTTGATACCGTAAAAATGTGCGCAAACTGATACAAGTTATACGCGCAGAGCACAAGAAGTTATTATCAAATTTGTCAGGTGCTCTAATTTCTAATACAACTAGACCGTTATTGCTTTCATGGTGAATGATTAGACTACAAGAATTATCACTGAGAGTGTGTACTAATATAGTAACGAAACAAATTGAGGTTAGAAATCCTAGAGGGAGTTCGTATTCTGATTACGTAACATTTTCAAAAATATGGCATTCACATTTTTAAGTTAACCACACCCACTTCCCGGAGAAGTTCTCCTACCAGAAATTAAAGAATACAGACCCGGGAATGCTAGTATCCCGGAACGCTCTCTTCGCAGAAATTCAAGAATACTAGCTTGATGTCTGATGTGCATTATATTGTTTCACTTTGTATACCACCACAACCAATGCCAACGAGAAATTTACTACCAATCCAATCTGAGAAACAAAATATCCCTAGACAGATAATTGCGGTTTTGTGAGCATCGTGTTTTAAAAAGCTGTTGAATTTTTACTAAACTTCCATAAATTATGGCTGAAGCAATGAAACAAACTGTGGCCTCTATGCTTAAAGGAATAGAAAGGTGATTAATGTTTGGACAATCTAGAAGTTCATTGTTCATATCCAGGTATAACCCCGATAATCTACCCACCTTAGAGCGATATGTGGAAATTCAGTCTCGAGAGAACGCATACGACTTGGAAGCAAACCTTGCAGTATTGAAGTTATATCAGTTCAACCCTCAGTTCTTCAACATTGATATAACCTGTCAAATTCTTCTAAAAGCATTAACGAACTTTCCTCACACAGACTTCATTCTCTGCAAATGTTTACTGAACGAACGACAGGTTACTCTTTCCACTACCTGTCCATTATAAATACCTAATCATTTTAGCTTGCCGAGGAACCGATCAACCAGATAATGTATTTGGGCGATATTTTAGAACAGTGCGATTTCCAAATATTTTGGAAACGTGTTCACTCGATGCCAGAATTGACCCAGCGTATTACAGGATTTCTGGATTCGATTCGTAAATTTGTATGCCACGTAGTTGGTATTACGTACCAGCGCATCGATAGAGTGCACTTGGCGGAACTTTTAGGTGACGTTGACGACGTTACTTTGAAGCACTGGGTAAAGAAGTACGGTTGGAAAGAAGAGGGTGCACTTGTTTTCATTTCGAACCAGGATGAAAACATCAAGACGAAAAATATTAATGAGAAAATTGATTTCGACAATGTGGGTGCGATTATGGCGTCATGTCGTTAAATTTGTATTTTTTGTAATAAATAGACATGTGTTTTGTAATTCAGTTTGACTGGGAGAGGGAAAAGCTACTCTTCAGGTACTTTAACGTTACTCCTCGAACTAAGTGTGATTGCAGAATTTCATTTGCCAATGATAGACGAGTTTTGCACAAAGAAACAAAAGTGAATCTTCGAGGCCTGCAAAGAAGGCAGGTGCCGACATAAACGGGACGCCTCAAAATCTTTGTACAGGATGTTCTGTGAAATTGCAATTTATTATTAGGTAATGGGCAGTCTAGGGAAGTTACTAGTAGGCTACTGTAAGATTCGTTAAAATTAAGCAAAAATTGACAAATTCACTATTATCAAAGTTTTGCACATCTTTTTATACTTCTACGATTTTGCGTCAAGACCAACATTTTGTGACCAGCCTTGTATATAAAATGTTTTAAAATGGTGGATTGTTATTGTGAACCTTCGGGTCTAAAAACTAGTAGTCGTACTTGGTCTAAAAAAGATATAAAATTTCTCGTACGACGTAAACTGAAGAAGAATCGTAGTCGTATTTTAAGGCGAAAAAGAAGCAGACTAAATTACTGGAAGCAACGTAAACAGCTAAAAACAAACAGGTATAACCAAACTTTGTGTGATACGATTTCCGTGTGCAGCATTACCGACATGGATTACCAGGAAGAGTTCCATTCATCGTTAATACAACCGATACCAGAGGTCGCCAAGTGGCACAATCAGCATCAAATTTCGTACTGGAAATCGCGCGCTTTAGCTTTAGAATTGGAAAACAACCTGCTTCACAAGCACATCGAAAATTTGTACGCGAAGCAAACGCAAGAATACGCCGACTGCGGCGAGTATTACCTTGAACAGGGCTCGACCAAAAAGGGGCATTTCACCGATAGCGATGGCGAGCATTTCGTTAAAAGGGAGCGAAAACGCAACTCGCCTGAGGAACGGATTTGGAAAGCACCCGAAGGAAACGCGAGACAGAAAAAATTAGAAGATATGAAAAACGTTTACGGGGATATGGCACCGAAAATTTTAGGAATGGAAACCGCGATACAATTGAGTTATGATTTATATTTAGAAAAGTATAATCCGAAACACTGGCCTAATATTCCTCTTAGATTATAAAGCACGCTTTGGTACTGCAATGTAAATTATTGTAATTGGACAGATTTTTTTACAAAATAAAGTAAAATATAAAAACATTGTGCTTTGCTGGTTTTTTTTTACTGATGGCACAAGTTGTCTATACCTAACTTACTGGTATTTGGATGCGTTGACCAGGTAAGTTATACCAAATTATGAATTTATCAAAAAAAAAAGGGTGAAAAGACCGGATTACACAATGCAATTATTACTAAAATTGCGTATGCAAGTTATTGCTGCAATAATCGCAGATGCAATTTTCTGCTGTAGAACTTGCGCTATTTTTGAAACATTTCTCCATTTTATTGGTAACATTTCATTTTTACTGACTTTATGTTTAAGGACCTACTCTACTATTGGTACTGTCTTAATACAGGTTTATTTATTGACTTCATTTCGAAAATGACCAAGTTGGAAATTATATTATCCCAGCTGCATCATGTTTCCAGTATGTTTGCCATAGAAAAGTGACAAAAAAAGAAAACGGCGCTTTTGGGTTAGGGCTTTCTAATGATAATCTTTCCAAGGGAAACTTAAATAAATTTCATCAAAATACGAATTATACTATTATACCATTATATTGGTTTCTTTTGTGTTCCTTCCCTCAGGTCATAGCGTGGTTTACAACTAACGCAAGGGGGCTCTGCCTTACTTATGTTTGATTTGATTTTTTTTCCGTGTTCTTGTAGTGCGAAGCCCAGAACCTGGGGGTTAAGTACATGTCAAGTTTGACAATAATGAAATTTGCTGTATTACCCTACATCATTATACTATGCCTACATCTGCATCAACAGGCAAGCAGAATAACATTAATAACGTACGTATTTATTACAATTAAGATTAGATAGCAATAGGTGTTTATTCTAAGTTAATATATTACAATTGTCATTGTTTAGGCCTGGATAAAGATTTATGTAAGTAGGTACAATAAACCTAAACGTTGGCATTTCTAATTTTTAATTACAAATAGCCCAATTCCCTGAAAAGGGCAGACAGCAATTTGGCAGTCTATTCACGCCTTCATAAATCTTGTGTCTCACTCAACACATGTACATTAAAGTGTGTTTTATTATTGGTTGCATAATCACACTGACTACATTACAAATCTTTAGTAGTCTTATGTGCTCGCTTGTGTGTTAACAAATGTTTTTTTAAATAAAGTTTGTTATTGGTCGCATAAGCACAATTAAAGCATTTGATATCCTTGACAGTTTTGTGTCTTAACAGATGTAATTTAAGATTGGATTTGTGATGGGTTGCATAATCACACTGTGCGCATTTGATTTCCTTGGCAGTTTTGTGTGTTAGCAGATGCCTTTTAAAATGGAATCTGTTATTGGTTGCATAGTCACAATGCAAGCATTTGATGTCCTTCGTAGTCTTGTGTGTTTGTAAATGCGCTGTGAAATTGGATTTATAATTAGTTGCAAAATCACACTGAGCACATTTGAAATCCTTGACAGTCTTGTGTGTTAACACATGTACTTTAAGATTGGTTGTGTCTCGGGTTGCATAATCACACTGTGCACATTTGATATCCTTGAAAGTTTTATGTATTAACAGATGTCTTTTAAAGTGTGATTTATTATTGGTTGCATAATCACACTGTGCGCATTTTAAATCCTTAGCAGTCTTGTGTGTTAACAGATGATTTTTAAAACTAAATTTGTTATGGGTTGCATACTCACACTGTGCACATTTGAAATCCTTGACAGTCTTGTGTCTTAACACATGTGTGTTAAAATGGCAATTGTTATTGGTTGCATAGTCACAATGTGTACATTTGAAATCCTTAACAGACTTGTGTGTTAACAAATGTAATTTAAGCTTAGATTTGTCACCTGTTGCAAAATCACATTGGGCACATTTTAAATCCTTAGCAGTCTTATGTGTCGACAGATGTAATATAAGATTGCGTTTGTTAGTGGTTGCATAATTACACTGTGCACATTTGAAATCCTTGACAGTCTTGTGTTTTAACAGATGTAATTTAAGATAGGTTTTGTTATGGGTTGCATAATCACACTGCACACATTTGATATCGTTGACAATTTTGTGTGTTAACTGATGTCTTTTAAGAAGCGATTTATAATTCGTTGCATAATCACACTGTGCACATTTTAAATCCTTGGCAGTTTTGTGTGTTAACAAATGGCTTTTAAAGGATGATTTATTATTGGTCGCATAATTACACTGTGCACATTTGAAATCTTTGGCAATCTTGTGTTTTAACAAATGTCTTTTAAACTGTTTTTTGTTATTGGTTGCATAATTACACTGTGTGCATATTAAATCCTTGGAAGTTTTGTGTGTTAACAGATGATTTTTAAAATTGAATTTGTTATGAGTTGCATAATCACACTGTGCACATTTAAAATCCTTGATAGTCTTGTGTCCTAACATATGAGTTTTAAAATTGTATTTGTTATTGGTTGCATAATCACAATGAGAGCATTTTAAATCCTTGACAGTGTTGTGTGATAACAGATGTAATTTAAGATTGGATTTATGATTGGTTCCATAATCACACTGTGCACATTTTAAAACGGGGGCAATCTGGTGTGTTAGCAGATGTATTTTAAAATAGCGTTTGTGATTGGTTGCATAAGCACAATGAAAACAATTGATATCCTTGACAGTTTTGTGTGTTAACACATGTAATTTCAGATCGGATTTCCGATTGGTTGCATAATCACACTGTGCACATTTTAAATCCTTGGCAGTTTTGTGTGTTACCAGATGCCTTTTCAAATGGAATTTGTTATTGGTTGCATAGTCACAATGAAAGCACTTGATATCCTTGGTACTCTTGTGTGTTGGTAAATGTGCTCTGAGATTGGATTTATAATTACTTTCAAAATCACACTGAGTACATTTGAAATCCTTGACGGTTTTGTGTGTTAACAGATGTAATTTAAGACTGTGTTTGTCATGGGTGGCATAGTCACACTGTGGACATTTGATATCCTTGGCAATCTTGTGTGTTAACAAATGCTTGTTAAAGTGTTTTTTATTATTGGTTGCATAACCACCCTGTACGCATTCCGTAATACTCTTGTGTGTTCGTAAATGTGCCCTCAAACTTGATTTATAATTACTTGAAAAATCACAATGAGCACAATTAAAGTTTCTTAAATGTCGCAATCGGCCACCAGACAAACCTTCAGAATGTTCATTCACTACTTCATTTACTTCACGCTTGATTGTTGCGGAGACGTCATTGCTAAATAAATCTCCGTCATCCACAGATGCAATTATTTCTTCTTCTTGGTTGATTTCAACTTTTACAATCGCAGACATTATCGCACAAGAAGTGGTTACAACGGTTAACAGGTCCTGCTGAAAGTAAGCACAAAGTAGGTGGAATGGCGGCCTGGAAAGATTACAATACCCCATATGTTATCGATATTCGGTGGAAGACGTTTCCCGACACAGCAGCTGCTTATTATGCGCTGACGCTGACATGTAAATCATCAAAGGTCAATAAACTTAACCCTAAAATTATAAACCATTTATTTTACCACAGACTATCTGTCATTTTATTGGTAAGGCGGGTTTATGTCTATGGTTTACTTAAAGAAGTTGTGCTTCTGCTTGTGGACTTGACCACTTGACGGGTGTATGGAGTAGAGTAATGTCATACTGGGTCTAGCTTCATTAAGAATTTTTGTATAAGTTTACATTTCAAAACAAGTCCATCAATCGCAGCCACTACACACCAATTTCTCGGAATTGCGGTTAAGATATTCAGTTACCTATTTTGGTGCCGAAATGGGGAAAGTTCCTTGTGAATAACCTTATGGAACGGAACGTTTCGCTAGAAAAACGTTCAAAATAACGTTGTTTAGAAAACCAATAAAACGAACATACAGTCCTGCCTATTTTTTAAATTTTATGCAGCAAAAATCTAGTTTTTCGAATTAGTAATGGCTCCAAATTCCATTAAGCTCCGCCGTTTAGAACTTCTTTGGAGTCAAGGACAGTAGGTAGTTCCTTTGTAGCAAGTTTTGTTGACAGTTCTCTTCGAGGAACCTGAAGAAGCACATACAGGGTTTAGAATAGAAACACCCCACAGTCAGATTGGACAATTTTCAGTCAGAGCCAGAACCGCAAACGACAACATGGGTTCCCGGTACAGTGACTATAGAAACAGGCCATATGCTCATATTCGTCATTTTTCTCCCAAATTTATCATTGAACTAATGGGAGAATTAACTTAAGTAACTTTCTAATGCCAAATAAACATTACAATTTATCATTCAATTTCTAGCTCACTCGTAGAATTTTACAACTCGCCGACGTTCCCCTATTTCGATTATGCTTTAAATAAGCCTTATTATTCGTGGTACAATTACACTGACCACAATTTAAACAATAGGTATTCTTCGATGTGTGTAGTACTGGAAATATGGGTCTTAGGGTAGAATAAATTAGAGACAAGCTAATTATTCTTTTAATGTGTAGGGAACATCTTTCTTATTAACATACTATTAGTCCCATTCGATCCTACTGTGCCAAATACAAAAAAAATTCCGCCATCTTCTTTTTTTAATTTATAGACAATAACTTATTTATTTATCTATGTACCAAAAACTATAGTTACTCGATAGAATTGAACCTTTTTTGTTTTATCATGGCACACTTAGATTCGGAAAATAAGGTTTTTTTATACAAATTGGCGTTTCCACTGGTTTTTCTCTGAAATGTTCTTATGGAATGTGTGGTTTGCTTTGTATCAGTGGAAAATTTGTAGTTTTGGCTACCCAGAGGTATATTTTGTTTAGAAGGGTGCCATTTGCAATTTTTGAAAAATATTACTTTTTGCGAAGGTCAATCAAAAATTCATTTTTTTTGTAAAGTACCTAAAAAAATTATGTGACTATGAAAGAAGTCTTAACCTGTGCCTCAATTCAAAAATTAGCCGCCTGCGCGATTTAGTTTCTCTAAAAAAAATTTCGAAGAACTGTAAAATTTTGACGAAAAACGGTTATAACTGCGAAATCGTTAAGGTTTGGGATATAATATGTTATATAAAAAAATAAGTATTTTTCAAGTACATTCTAAATCAGTAATAAAAAATGGGGTATTCCATTTAAAAAAATGCAAGTTTCATACCCCACTAGAATACAGCACGCCCCTGATGATCAAAAATATTTTAGAAATATGGCGACGGTAATTGTGCACAATTTTGCTATAAGACTTTTTTCGGTATCTTTTATGGCAAAGGAATTATGATCCGAGGGATCTTAGGTGCGACACCCTGTGTAATTCTTACGTTGCTACTCGTACATTCCTGGATTCATACTGCTCACTTCCTTCCAATGAATCAATTCATCATTCATCCCCAATCATTATAATAAATTAACCCACTTCTTACTCTATCACAGTTTTAAATACTATTTTTATTATTTTCATGGATAACTAGATCGAAATGATAATACTTGAAAAATTTTAGTTGTTTGAAGTATTTTGGCTGTGGTGCTTTGAGAACCTTTGTAGAAGACTTAATAAGCTGCCATATGAGGTAATAATATACAGGGAGTTCCACATAAAAAACCGCATTTTTCTTATCTGCAAAATGCGATATTGTTTTGTGATTTTTTTTATAGATTTGGATTCAGCAGACAAAAATACACAATTTTGGTAACCGTCTTCCTAATTCTACAACTAAGCAAGTTAGCAATAGTGCAGATTTAATTTGAAACAGACTGTATATATAAAAGAGAACAAAAAACTGATTAATAAGTAGTATGTATTTTTCATTTCTAAACAAAAAAGTACTCTACACATTTGTTCATAGAGATTCAATTTACTAAGATATTAACAAAAAAATGCAAACATTCAAGATTGCCGCCATTTTTTCCGTACTTACCATAAGTTTACGAAATGGGTATGTTGTAGTACAAGTAATTGTGTATCGATATTCGTCAAAACCATCAGCTTGCCTCTAATTTGGTCTAGGTTACCCCCTTATAAGTACTGTAGGTACTAGTGGAGTACTTTAATAAATGACAATTAAAATGTTGCTTACTATTTGCGGTATACCTAACCACACAGCGTGCACGTAACGTTTTTAATGTTTTGCTTATTGTGAGTGGCGTAATTACACTGTTCACAAATTAAATGTTTGAGAAAGTCGTCTGTGTTAATACCTACGTTTTATCGGAACGCTTAATTGTGGCGTGTATACACAAATAAACAAAATGATGGTTTTATCCCACCAATGGTAATTACAATGTTCTGCCACCAGAGGTCTCCCTGTCAATATGAATCGCGAATAAAACAAAATAGAAATCACCTGTTTAAACAGAGATTGCGCATGCGCAGATATAATAGGCAGAAGACAAAGAATCAACTTTCTTGTTGCAAGTAGATTTTTCCTAAATTTTAACTTCTTTTCAAATAATAAAAAAACATCAGTATAAAATATTTGCTGTAATTTTATTTGAACATCTTACTTGAGTATTACTTAAAGTTGGTCATACCCACCCATTTCTTTTAGTATCTCCATCAAACAAGCAGTACATTTTTAATCGGTACCAATAAGTAATTAGCGCAAAATTATGGATTATGGATATAAAATTTGTGCATCATGTTCTGAGCATCTTCATTACCTCGAGATCAATCGCGCCAGCAAGTCTACGTAACAGTAATGATGCACTGTTATTTAATAACTATCCTTGTAGACAAAGAAACGCACAAGCTTTGCGATTGCGACCTTTTTTGATCTTGGTGAACCAATTATTTTCCATTAGATGCTCTGGCATTTAGTTTCTAGGTTGTAGCAGAAGCACTATAAGTTTCATTTCCAATAATTGGTCTGTCAAAAACGTCCAAATGGGGACAAAAGTCAGATGAAATATGAATTCGCTGGTCGTCAAGTCAACATTCTCGGAGCTCTCACTGGAGAAACTTTTTTCTGAATAATCGAAATCGATCAAAATCTGTTTTACTATTGCGCTGCCTAAATTCAACTCTTATGATACAATAACTCGATTTCACAGAGAAACAATAACCTGCACTTACCTATCTGCAGTTTCTTAACGTTAAATAGTAAAAGGTAGATCGTTCAGTTTAATAACGTTTGCCATTTAATAAAGCATTTATATTAACATTATCATGATTATTAACTATTGCGGTAGATTAGAGCAGGTGAAGCGTATTTTTATTGAATGCATTGCGTTATGTAAAGATCAAAGAAATTTTCCTATTGAAATTATATTGCTAAATCGCATTTCAACATCTAAGTTATTAACAGGAATGAAGTGCAAACGGCTTGCATGCACGTAAATGTTGAGACTGCATGTCTAAAAATTACTTTAATTACATGTTCACAAAAAATCGCAAAGCTAAATAACATTTTAATTATGATCAACACAAAAATTAAATAGGGAGTTCGGTACACTTTTAGAATTTTCGAAAATTATTTAAATAAACATGCGAAGATAATTTCGAGAAATTGTGAACAGTTGGGCACAATTAATGGAACGGAATAGTTTATCCTGTTTTTACCGCAAACCACGAAAGTATGTTCTCACTTTTCCTTCCGTATGTTCGTCTACCTGGCAGGCGGACGTTCGGTAGGTAGGTATATGATAACTTGTAAGCTCAGCATCACGTGGAATCGTGGTGGAAATTTGGGATCTCACGTAGTGGCACACTCCTAGGTCGTTGTATATATTCCCATATTTTTGTCATAGAATGCACACTCAAAATGAACATAATCCGATAAGGTGGCCAAAACCTAGGATGTCTTAAAAGTGGATCTTAGCATAGGTATAGGTACTTCTCCTACATGTATGCGTGTTTGGAATCCTTATACCATAATTAGCAGTTACAGTACAAACTCCAAACTCAGACATCGGAATTGTGCTTAATAAACGGAAGTAAAAATAAACATATTAAAAGTTGTCGCCCTTGGAAGGTGAGTTAAAGATGGAAGGGAGGACAGTGGTGCCATTTTTGGGTTTTTTAATTATAGCTCAGAAACCGCGAACTCTAGAAAAATTGTTTTACATGAAAATGAAAGCTAATTAAATTTGCTATAATATTATTTCTATATATTTGTCGAATTACCACCAACGGTTTTCGAAGTACACGTTCATGAAAGTCGATGATTTTACAAAAAAATCCTTTTCACCTACCTTTTTTTAGTACTACAAACCTCGCACTCAACAATGGCCGGATTCCCCTACTACTGTTCACAATTTGGAGCAAGAGAGCTAACTGTGGAAAACGCTAAACACGCATTTTACATCACATCTACAATATACAAAAATTAACAAATCGAGCAAGTCATTCTTGAATTTGAATAAGTTAAATCTGACGTTAATTTAATACACAACAAAGAATTGTCAGCTCAAATAGAATTCGAAGCTAACATGCCAAAGTCTCTTACATAAGGGACGTGAAATACATTGTTAATTGGCCGTACCTTCTCCAGTCCAGAAGGTATCTGAAGGTCCTGGATACGGTAGCCTTGGACTAAAGTTGTATTTTGAATCAAGGCACGGAAGAAGCAGTTACAGGCATTC